CTAAGCCCAAATCTGGTTTCAAGAGTCGTGGCCGCATCCCGCAAATTTCGCGAAACTGCGAATCTTGTATCCCTTCATCTTTTTCTGAAAAGCTTTAGAAACTCCGGCAATTTCTTGAACTGCAATTGGGTACCAGGGGATAACAAAGGCATTCTTCTGACAGCAACTCAGCCACAATTTTCTCTTCATCCTTACAAAACCCTTTCACTGTTCTCTTTTACCTTTTTAATTTTTTTGTTAACTTCCGGGAAGCAACTTTATCTCGCAGTATGCAACTTTGAGCCTTTGAACAAGGCACGTTGGGAATTTATCAGATGACGAAAGTCATGGAGATTTTTTCGTAAAATGAGGCCAAAATTACGTTACGGCATAGTAGTTCTTGCAAAAATTATAAACTTCGATTCTTAAAAATCTATGACTTTTTGTTTCGCTAATTAGGCGGTCTAGGAGCGAAGAATATGTTTTGACACCATGCACTCTGCTCGTTGTATGCGTACTGCCCTATTTGTCTGAGCACAACTAGTTTCTTTGGAGTTGCGAGAGTCAAAGCCAGGGCCCGGCGGGGGTGGCGCTTTCACAAGCTAGATATCGTTTTTGGCCCGAAAAAGCAAAGGAGAAGTCGTATTTTGGGGTCCGGGGCGGAGCCCCGGACCCCAAAATACGATCCCCTTTGTTTACCGATAAACAATGCACATATCATTCTTTATTCATCATTCCTTGTTGATGCTACTGTCCTATGAACTTAGATTCCAGCAATGTGAAGATTCTGTGCTCCGATCGCTAGCCTGCCGGCAAGCGGGAATTCAAATCGCAATTCTTGTAAAAGAAAAATAACAAAATAGGCTCGTTTTCAATGCACAAGTAACGATATGACACCAAATTTGCTGTATAGTTGGAGGACCATGAGCACAAAAAAAGTATGAAAAATTATGAAAAACTTATGTGAATTAAAAAAATGGTAAGTGTTTTTCGAAATTAGGTGGCTCCCGCGCCACCTGGGAGCCACCTGGGGTGGCTCCCTGCTTCCCTTCACATAATTTCCCGGATTTCTTTACATAAATGTGGCCTAGGTCGAGAGTATTACTACATGTTCAAATCCGCTTCCAAAACCACCAAGGCACCGCTTAGATACAGGCCGAAATAGGGTTCACAGCGTTATGATCGGCCTCGGAAAGCGCGCTCCAATCGAAATCGGTGCACCTTGCACGGACGACGCGGAAACTTTGAGAATTTGACTTCTTGCTAGGCTAATGATCGCTAAATGAAGCAGTTTTCCCTAATTTCAAACCATTGTTTCTTCCATTCATGCTTGCATGGGCTCGCAATGAAGGAGCGGTCACATTTGGCTGTGATGTTTTGTGCAAAAAGTTGTTCCACAAGAGAATTTCTCCTGTTTCCGCAGTTTCGTCGGTTTTCCGGATTTTTGTGTTCTGTTCCGTCGCGTGTTCTTTTTCTTCCTTGTTTTCTTCTTGTTCCTCTATGCTCGTTGTTGCAGCTACGTCGATGTCATCGGAAGTGTGTAGAAAGTTTTTGACAAGATCGGATAGAGTCAAATCGGTGGACCTCCATCCCACTGAACCGTGGTTATCTGCTGCTCTCTATACTGGAGACGTTCAGATATGGAATTTTGAAAGCCAAGAACTTGTGAAGTCTTTGAAAGTAGGTTCCTTTCTTCATTTTCATTTTTAAGTGTTTTTGTAGGTTAGACCCCGGCCAGACTTCGCTCAAAATTGCTCACTCATGAATAAGTTCCTATTTGGCAAATAGTTAGTTGAGCGTTGATTGGTATTTTTGAGAAGTGTTGGAAAGCAGGGTTTGTCGTTTTTGAGCGGTTTTGGGAGATTTGATCGAAGGCTGGCTGGGGCCTTATGGTGCTCACTTTATTTAAGCCCAGTGTCTGAATGGGGTCATAAACTTGCGCAATTTTTAGGTTTGCGATTCGCCAGTGCGTGCCGTCAAGTTTTTTCCAAGTAAAACTTGGATTGTGACCGGGTCAGATGACATGCACGTCGAAATCTACGACTACACCACATCGCTCCTAGTTCACCAGTTTCGGGCTCACTCAGACTACCTCAGGTGGGTGGACTTGATTTATGCCAGTATGGTTCGTTTTTTGCATTTTTGAATTTCTGATTTTTTATGTTTTCTTTCTTTTTTTGCCTCTACTGGGTTGTTACTAAAGAGGGGGCGGTGAGATTGCGGCCTTTGCTCACCATTAAGGTTTCTCGGTTTTATTTTTCGAGTGAGACGCGTTTCTCTTCTCCAGCGAGATGCTATTCATCTGAAACAATTTCGTGAAGTATTGTTTTACTTTGGGCTTTGTTTGAGCAAGGGCCGCACAATACGAGGGAATTTCGCGACAAGCTCAGCCCTAAATTGACACGTTTCGGACCGCGAAATCGCGCGCGGCGAAAAAGAGTGTATTTTAAGCCGTTAGCCAATAAAGGGGCCTTATTTTTAGTCTGTGTGCTACATCTGTAATCAGCATGTCAGACAAGCTCCATACCCAAAGTTCTGGGTGAATTCAAATTGTTTGAATTGTGTCGTTTGAGAGAGACTTTCGTGCTTTCTGGAAAGATAGGAACAAGAACTCCGTCTCTAATAGTATTCAAAAGTTTCTGTGTTCCACACGGTACACATCAATATTGAGACTATGGTTTTCTGCTTGAAAGCGAAGCAAGGAAAAGTTGCTGTCTCCTAAACAAATATCGGCGGCACAGCTCTATAGAGTCATTTGAAAAGTAAGAGCTTAGACTTTGGTTTGATAACTTTGGACTAAAAGAAAAGCTCTTGTGAATGTCGAAAAGATCCTTCAAAGTCGCGTGCTGCACCATGTGCAGCACCGGTCCGAAACGTGTTAACGCTCTTTCTCGCTCATTGGTTCCCCACTCCACTGTTTTTGTGTTTTATATGTTCCATGTTTCTGTCATCATCCTGGTGCATTTTTCAGTGTTCAGTGTTTGTTCGTAGAAAATCGAAAAATAAGGTTTTGCTTTATATGTGTGTCTTCTCTATACTTTTTCGTGCATCTGCATAGTTGTTGCAGTGCAAAAATCATCACCTTACAAGTGCAGTTGTTTTAAGTGGCTGATGATATGTCATATCTCGCTCATTTCACCCCCGTCTTGATGAGGGTAATTTTCCGGATGGAATTTTTCATCTCTCCACTAAATCTTGCTTCTTAGGCACCCGCCATACTTCATCCTCTTAATGCGCTATTTATTTATGCGCTCTTATTTATTTGTGTATATTGTCTGTCACGGAATTAGGGGGGTCAAAAATAGGGTCAAAGGGGAAGTCGTAAGAAAATTGGCTTCAGAGGGGATATCGTTTTCAAATTTCTGAAATGCCACCTCCTGCCGGGCCCTGGTCAAAGCTATCCTAATTCTAACTCCGAATTTTGCTCGTCTCAATTTTCAAATTTTCCTCTTAAAATCGTCTGCCAAATTCAAATCGCATTTTCTGCTTTTCGCAGGAGTTTTCTGGCGTCCTGGAGTAAAGATCCAGCATGAATTTGTGGTCTCGCTCTGTGGCTGAACACTTTCACTGCAAAAAGTTTGTTTTCTCCACAATTTTCGCGAAATTTGGCAAATCTTGATTTCGAAAGACTTGAAATCACTGAAAATGTATTTGCTTCTGAAATTAGGACTTAGTGTGCAAGTTGTTTTAGTTAGGTTCGTCAAGGATTCAACTGATTTACTTATAACTGAGCACTGAAAGAAAGAGCTATAGCAAATTATTGTAATTTGGTTGAGGTATTTTGGAAAAAAAACGAGATAGTATAATTCTGTGCCTACCTGCAAAATCTGATTTTTCTTAAAGGCACCGTCCACACAAAGTGAGGTTTGATGAGATTTCGGTGAAATACTAGTGCGGGCCCCACACTAGGCAAACCCCCAAGTAGCGCCGCAAAATACTCCTTCCGAAGCGAGAAGTCCGCTCCGGAAGGGACGTAACCGGAGGTGGTCACTCCGCCCACGTTTGAGGCGCACCGTTGGAGATACTACACGCACAGCGCAGTACCCTGCCTCGTCGTAGGCGACTAATCGGAGTTTTTCTAGTGCTATTTCGTGTACTAGTATTCTTAACCGTTCGTTTTTTATTCAACCATGACCAAATTTACGACAAAGTTGTTTTTCCGATTATAGCTATCATCAGCATCCGGCATAGCTGTTTCTTGATGTGAACATGATCTTTCTTTATAGGTGACGCTTGTGCTTAATGAAGCAAGATGAACATGCGAAGAGAAAGTGAGTTTTGTTTCATTGAAATGTACATCAAATTCAAAAACTATTTGTAGACAAAATGATCGTTGTCGCCATTACTACATGACTAATGGATCATTGCAATAAACTGTCACGCATTTCGGAGTACTTGGCCTCGCAAATTATTGATTTGACCTTGCAATAAACGCAAATCCTTTACATTGCAAACCTGTAAAAGCGATCATTAGAAACTCCATTTTTCAACTTCACAATTCTCACTTTTGTCCCTGACTACTATGAACGAGAGCGATGATATATCTATTGCTCTGGCTAACAAAACAAAATTGATACGTGATCTATCATCCTGCGAAACGGTTTTATCCGCCTAAAACAACTCTGAGTGATGTTGTGAGTCCCACAGGAAATAACAGCAGAGCCTGAATAACTTTCAAACATAATAAGCATTGATATCGAAGTCACTAACTTGTAAAAAGAACAGAGCGCTGCTGAAATCAACAAAGCTCGTCTGAAATAACATGCGCCAGTCAAGAAAAACCAACAGTGCGATATATATGTTTCTTGATCAGGCAACTGCAAAAAAAGGTAAGTTGTAGCTCGTTTGACGACACTGCAATAAACTGAAGACGAAAAATGTGAAAACTAACGACCATCACTAATACAATAAACAAAAAAAAGAGTAAGATATCCCAAAACGCAGAGTACAGAGCCCCACTACGAAGAATATGCTAAATACACAGAACCTGGATCGAAGACTGGGACAAACATCTCCTAATACTGCTAATCGATTGCACATGCCCGGCCTCTCTAGAAAAAAAATAAAAACGCCTTTCAGAGTTAGTTACAGTTCCAATTAACAAGCAAATCAAGCGTAAGCAGATACTAATGACCACGACACATCATGAGTGTTAAAATACCGACGGCTAGGCTTTCATGAGGCCTATCGATTTTCAGATAATTGACATGGTGGTCATGCTGTGGTTGGGCTTATACCGTAGAAGACTTCCGATCTCATTGTTTTCTGTCGCGGCTCGCGATGCAAGCCACTCCTCGAAACAGGAGGCCGGGAGCGCTGGCTATCGCGTTACTTGGCGCGCTTTCAAGATCGCGCCAAGACCTCTCCTGCTGGGCGCGTTGCCAAGTCACAGGATATATAAGGGCGCGCAGGCCGCGATGTACGCCTCTTCGATTTCCGTTCGTATTGATCGTTTTATAATTTCGTTCATGCTGGCAGCGCCTCCAACAGCTCCCGCAGATGATCATCGGTTTCGAGCGGTTGAGCCTTTGTTCTCTTCTTGGTTTTGGAGACGCGCAGCTAAAGTCATGGCTCGTCCTGCGCAGGAAGCACACTAGCGGGAGTGGAGAGGGGTTACACCGTTCCGGAAGGGCTAGGGGCTTGCGGTTGACCCGATGGAGAGCCCGGAACTACTTGTTGGAGTCGATCACCATCAGCATCGGCAGCACGGGACGAGGCGGCTCGTCCCGTGCCTAGTTCTCCTGGGTTTTGAAGTAGTATTTTTAGTAATTTTTATAGTTTAGTAGTTTTTGTAGTATTAGTAGTTTATTATTGTATTTTGTAGATAAATGTAGTCTAAACTAGTCGGTCCCTTCTTTTCTCGGCGTTTACGCGCTATTTATCGTGTTGTTCATATTTGTAGGGGGTAGTCCTCGGCAGCGCCCGTCAAGGCGTCATGAACCTTGGTGGACGCGCGACATCGTAGGGGACAGCGGGAGTTAGGTGTAGCTGCGGCGAGCACTTGCGGAAGGTGCTGGCCCCACCGAGCCGCCACATTTTCATTCGATTTGGTTCAATTCCGCGACTCTTTTTAACCTTGTTTCAGATTCCATGACTCCTTCCAATTTTCTAAATACAAACTGCAAAATCAATAAATCAATTACGGCAATTCGTGTGTGCCGAACAAAACTGCTCATAACAAACCTCCCACCCCACACATAATGTCTGCCAAATTTGGTACAGATCTCATGACTCCTTTTTTGGGCGAATTTTCCGAGCAAAAATGGCAAAAATCAATAAATCGATAGTCGAACGGTGGGTCCCGAACAAAATGGACATTATGTCTGTCAAATTTGGCTCAGATTCAATGGCTTCTTCTGTCCTTTTTGAACGAACATACAAAATTTTCCAGACAAAAACTGCAAAAAAATCAATAAATCGATAGAATCAGACGGTGGGTCCCGGACAAAATGGCTTATTAACACATCCTCACCTTATGCATTATTTCTGCCAAATTTGGTCCAGATCTCACGACTCATATCTTTTTTAATCGAACATACAAAAGTGGCGAAGCCAATATAGTATTGATATGCCTCAACCCACTTACAGCGACCCGTAGGATCGCTAATCAATAATATATTTTCATGCTGATTATGTGATCTTGAGGATTGATATGAAGCTTTGGTAAAAGGAATTAAAACGTCCTAGGCGACAAATGCTGATCATGCAAAGTTAGTTGTTCTTGGATTTTTCAGGTATCTTGAACTGGAATGGCTTCACATTTTTATTTGTGTCGCGTCTAATATCACAAAAACCCGTTCAAAGAAACTGAAGAAAGAAGAAAAAATGGAGAATTCATGATTTCAGTCTTCTCAAGCTCATTACATATTCCACCTCTTAAGTGCAGTATGCAACAAGGAGTTTTGAAACTATATTAGCTACATATTTAGAATTGAATGTTTGATTTTTCAAATTTGTTGATTTGTCCACCTCTCAAAAGGTCCAGGGCAGTAGATGGTCGAATGATTTTATAATGCTAAAAATGGTCGCATCTATCTCGTACCATGCAGTTTCCATTTATTCATCATTTATTTGGAGTCTACGGCATGTAACGCATCCCAAAAATAGAAGATCACTAAAAATTTACGGAAATATCTGCAAACAAACTTATTAGCTCACAAATAAATATAACACAGTTGTATGCATGGTTTACTAACATCATCCTACATCTTATAAAATTTCGTTCTTCGATGGAGCCGAATAAACACTGAAAGATTATAGTAAGTGATAACCTTAGTGAAACTGCGTAGCAGATCATGTTCACTGTTAAGTTTTAGAAATTTCTCACCTGTTATCCAGTTTTCCTGGAAACGCAAACTCTTTAGTTTTTTTGAGAACACAAACACTTTTTTTACAACTATCTTTCGGACTTTTCTTGTAAGCGCATCCGAGGGATAATGGCACGTAATGCGGCCACAGTGTCTGAATAACGTAGATCGAATGAAGTCTCATAAAATTTGCTTGATAACGGAAACTTTGAATCTAAGCGCGGGCAACACTTGCAAGTACAGATCAAGGATAATCAGATCCATGCCCGGGGCCTTAGAGGCAGTGTCCCTGCCCCGTAAAAACTCTACATACAAAATTTTTCACTTACTCACTTACATTACTTTGCTTCTTGCTGAATCCAAAAATGCAGCCTAGAAAATGCGAAAACGTCGAAAGCTTTAAAAGCTCTCGATTTCTACTTGGATGTGAAACGCAGAGCTCGCTAGCACAGTCGCTCTGAGACCCGGAGGGCGGTCAGGATCTTCCAAAGGCTCGCCGCTTCTTCTCCAGGCACCCGTGGGAGGTAATATTCACTTTGCGCCTACCTCGCACCTGCGTCGCACCTATCTCGCACAGTCCTGCATTAGTCGCCTCCGCACTCCTGCGTTGTTTCTCCTGGCATTAATTAGATAGCTCAGCACATAAGCGACGAGTAAATGAATATCAGAAAAAGGAAAGAGCTATGAAACCAGATATCAAAATAAACAGATAGATAAGAAAAGTGCACTTTTTTGGCAATCATTTACTATGTAATCCCTTTTTGATTATGTTAGGAGAAACAAAGAGGTTCTCCGGAGGGGACTAATGCAGAAATGGCGAGATAGGTGCGACTTAGGCGCGAAGTAATAATTACCTCCAACGGGAGCGCCTGGAGAAGCGGCAGGAATTTGAAGGATCCTGACACGCCGCCCTGAGACCGGTATTAACAATGTTATATAAGCTGTTACAAGCTATGGGAAGGCGCGTGTGGGGGGAGGGGGGATGGGAGGAATTCGGAACGGGAGGCAGGGTCCGGAACACTTCCCGAGCAAATTCTAGGCTTTCTAAGTGTTTTTTCACTTCGGATTTCACATCGCTTAGTTAAGAGGCCTGTCATTGCATAGCCATAGTTGCAGCACCCCCACTTTGGCGGGACAGTGCCTTGAATGCAGAAATAAGATGACTTTCATAAGTTTCACAGATTTAAAATTCATCGCTACTTATTAGGTTAGGTTCTCAATTTGCAAATGTTTTTACAGATTTGTCATTTCGATTGGCGCAGGACCGCTATTCAGACAGGAATTGATGTCCAGCTATGATTAAAGAAAAGGAAAAACTGTCAAACTCACGTCGCGTATATCTAGTTTACAGTAGTACAAAGGTTTCAAAAATTACTTAACGAAAGTCATGATACGAAGTATTTCTAACAATAAGATTCTCAGCGAAGAGATTTAGAAAGAAATTCGCAGATTACTTGGCGAGGATAGCGGAGCCTAGAATGCTGATATCAAAGCCTTCATTATCTGCAGAACGCTTATGAGTTGGTTACCAATAGTATACTACTAGACTAGTTATAAGCGTCTCTGCAAGCTTGGTAGATTTCTTTCCTTTTTTTACTCCATAATGGACCTCATTCACTATCTAAATAGTGGTACTGGGACCATTCGAATGACAAAATCTGCGGTGAATGAGTTGAGAACTAGGAACTTACCAATTAGCGACAGAGGTCCACATCTATTAGGTTGTCTCAAAAGTTTTGTTTTGTCCGTTTTTTTTCAAACGGCTATAAAACCACGCATAATAAAGACCTGGATGAGTTCCAATAAGCATTCGATGCAGCTTTTCCATCTCTTTCTCTAATGTGTTTCCGAACCACTATCTTGTATGCTTTTTTGACCGTTGCCAATTCTCCACCCGTCTTTTTTATCTGCTCAAACTTAAGCTAATTTTAAAAAATCTCGTTCCAATGTTCGTAAAGGATTAAAAAGGGATCGATTAGAGCAATTCTCGGACTACAAGGAAGTGTTTTTTGCTTCTCCTATTCTGCGCTTTTGGCTTCAGAAAATTATTTTTTTGGAGGTCTCGATTTTTGAAAAGTCATGAAACGCAGAAATGCAGTAATTACGTGGAAGCTTTGGAGATTCTGCGAATTGAAACAAGATTCTTATTAAACATCATTTATGCAACATAAACAGTTTGATTTGCTTGAAAAAGCAGCTTCTTGGATTGTTCGGTAATTTTACGTGGTAAAGGTAATCAAAAAGGCGCGGATTTTATCAAATAAATAATTTTAACGGACTTGGTAAACGTAGCATGTAATGCAAAATGGTACAATGTAGCCAAACGTTTGTTCTACATAACAGTCACCAGCGCTCTTCGAAAAGTGATAAAAGGTTTTAGAATTTAGGAATGATTTAGCATTATGCTGATCTGCTCAAAAAGCCATGGCGATAACATTGCAAAGACAGAGTAGATCAGACAGCAAATATAGCAGTATGAAAGAGTATAAAAGTCTGAATTAAATGGTACCTAAGATGTCCATGGATTTGTGTTCTGTGTGTTTTAATGGGCGATGAAAAAAACGGACAAACCTTTCGGGGCATAATATAAAACATTTGAAAGTTGTTGTGTATTTTCAATCAGGTGAACTCATACATACTTGACAAGCGCAGCTTGCTTGTGAGCCAATCACCTAACCAACGGGCGCAAACAAGTTTTTTGACTACATTTTGAACACTACTTACGTTCTTTAGGTTTGCATCGGTTTCTTTGTAAGCACCACTTTTGAGCTTGGCCATAGTTGAGCAAGTCCTGTAAATTGCGTTGCTGCCCAGTGTTAAAAAGTACAAACTCTACCTGTAGACAACGGTCAGCTTCTTCTTTTTGAAATTGAAAATGGTACTGTTTTCACCCAGACTTAAAAATGCCTCATAGATGGAATCGCAGGAGTACGCCTAGAGGACAAATTTTCACTATTCACGTTTGCTATTTGATTGTGAGCACGAGTTGATGATTAGCGCTCTTCATTGCTGTGAAACAACAAAATCAGTCCCAGGAAGAAATCAAGAATTTGAATGCGTCCTTGCCGGGTTTTTCATCGGAATTTCTCTAACTTTGGCTCTTGACTGCCTTTACAACCAGCACATGCGACACATCTGACTGAAAACGCTTCTTTACCTCAGACAAAACTCCCATCAAAGATTTCAGTTTGGTAATCAGTATGTGCATTTTTCTCAGCAACATCATCTCGAAAAGATATTGCAAATTTCCTGCTTTTGCGACTAGGTGTGCGCTTTCGAGATTGCGAACATAAACGGAAAAGTTTTTCGTGTACGAGCACGGACTTATCAAACGACCGTGCTCATCAATATGGACATAACTAAGACTGCAGTAGCGCATAAATATCGTTTTCACAGAAGCATTTGAGAATTTTTCAGCAACTTCAAGTCAAAAGGAGAAATGCTGAATCGTTTTTAGCAACAAAGTCGTCGAAAAACTAGGGATAGATTCGCTACGTCGAGACTGTATCTCACATGACCAATCAAAGATTTAGAGTCTACATACCAGATATCTTCTACTTTTCTGGGGATATACCACTTTCGAGTTTTCTCGGATCGAGAGACCCTTCGCGATGGTTTGAGTGAACTCCAAGTATTTTTGGCAAAGTTCACTTTGTTTTCCAGGTTTCTTTTCATAAATAAATCCTTGAGCATAGACAGCAAACATCTAAATTTTGATACACATCAGTAACAAAGGAAGTTTTGACTCACTGCAAGCACAACAAAATGGGTGAAACCCTTCATGGCTGCTACTAGCAAGATGGGCTTTTAGAGCCCATTTATGAAAACTTTGAATTGCTGTCAGATCATCGCTTCAATAAGCATTATTTCAACGATGCTTCTCCAAACATCGCAAATGACCTATCTCAATAGTTAGCACGTCAACATTCAATTAAGCGACATGCAAGCAACATTCGTAAAATGAGCAACTGAAAAAATAAAGAATAATTCTTGTTTTTATCTTTACACCTTGATAAGCTCGTCTTTATACTGCATCTTCAAAGCTTTGTATATATTGATAAGAACTCTTTTGATTATTTCTGCTCGACTTTTATCCAATAGGAAAAGAGTTTTGTACTCGTAAAAACAAATTTGACACATTCGCAGCAATTTATAAAAGTGCTTCAAGTTCGTGTCCAAAATTGCGCATTAAATTAATTGAAAGAGAGCTAATGTAACAGAGGTATGAATACAAGTCTCTGCTTGTGCCGCATTCTATTTGGTAGTGTATCAACGCAACTTAGAAAATCAGAAAAACAACAGCGTTCATGGCTTTCTAACAAGGAAACAATACTTACAATTAGTCACTGCGACCATTTGAAATGCTATGTAAACCATAAGATGCATCTTGAAACGCTGATTCTAAATTGGCACTCGATGTTTGCGAACTAATCTTCTGAAGGAAGTTATGAACTTTTGCATTAGAAAATCCGCGAACTTTTGGACAACTGAAATCACCGAAATTTGGTCTAGTTTGCCGTTTCATGTTATTGGGAAATCTTAGGCAGATTACTGTTGTATTTGTAAGTGTCTAAATCATATTCGGCAGAAAGGGTGAGAAAATTTTCTATTGAAAATTTTACCCTACGTAGTAGCGAAATTCATCCTTAAAAAATAATCATAACTCCATCCATTCTATCGCTCGCAGATAGGGAAGACAGTTTTCAAACCAGCATTCAAAGGCGCATTCTTTAATGTACAACTCATTATGGGTGGTATTGTGATGGTTGTCTTGGCCAATAACAACCGGGTTCTAACATTTATTGATTGAAGTGTATTGACCAAGTGTAAGGTTCGTTAAAAGCATTGGATATATCACGAGCCGCTCCCTCGTCCGCTTCTCTTCCTTTTATACCGTCAGCGGGGCCCGCCTTCCTTACATCGTGAGAATCACGACACTCCGGCGACCGAAAGATGACGTCTAAAGGCTAAAGCTCTGAAATATGGCCGAACTTGCGACCCTTGGCTGAACAGAATCTGTTAAGACGAAGAGGCCGGAGTCACTACTCGTGACTTGCGAGCTATTTATGATTTTTTTTAAATTACTGATTGTTGTTTTTATTTATTTATTTATTATCTGTTCTATTTGAGTTTGAAAACAACTGTTGAGTGTAAAAAGGAACCCTTTTTATGTAAATTGAAAGAACTGAAAGTATGCTTTTATTGGAAAATTACATAATGAATATGTCGATGGATAATCACAAAATAATTATAAGAAGCATTTTTTGCGTTAATTGCCTGTGGTCTGAATGGGACTTTTTTTTTCTCTCAAAAATCTGCCACTTTTCGTTCTAGCTGTTAGTGCGGTTTGAGCCGTTTCTCATTTTCCTTTTGGGATTTTGCAGTTTGCATTTTGCGATATTGCTTTTTGAGGTTTTGCGGTTTTGCGATATTCCTTTTTGCGGTTTTGCGGTTTGCGTTTTGCGTTATTCCCTTTTGAGGTTTTGCGGTTTGCACTTTGAAATTGCGCGTGGGCTTATGAGTAGGTCTGTAAATGTAAAGTAGTTGTTCAAAATAATTGCTAAAAAAGAAATGCTATGTCTTCAACGCTTGTTTGCAGTTTTGCTTTGTTTTTTCCTCTTACATATTGAATTGGTACTGACAGAAGACGGAGTGATGTCTCGTCATTTCTGACAGTCGCATTGCTTTCTTACAGAAAAAACAGGTGTTTTTTGGTTGACATGAAGTGGCCATATGTGTGGCCGGGCCTAGGCAGCGCTCGCATCTATTGAGTTGAGCGATGCGCTGCCTACGCTCGGTTAAGGTGGAATAGATAGTACAATCAGTCGACCAGTGGCGAGTCCCGCAAAAAATGCAATTAGATGGTGGTATTTGCGGATAAATTGCCTGGGTGTCGTTTTGCTGGATCTGTGGACGTTGTTGTTGTTGTGGTAGTGGTGGTAGCGCCGACAATGTTGGACGATCGCACTGGACGGCCGCAGACCTCTGAGCTGCTTCTGGCATGTCGTGGATTCCGAGGACGCAGTCTTCCATATGGTCGACTAGGCTTTCCACGGCGCCCTGAAATTGACGTTGATTTTTGTTCTTTGTTGTTTAAATTGATTACCTTTTTTATTTTTTGTTTTTGTTCTTCATGTTCAAATGTATGTTTCCGTTTTCGCTGCAGCTTCAATAGGTTTGCTTTAATCTTTTATTTCGTAATGCTCTAATTGTTATGCTTACCCTGTGCAGCTTCGTTTCTCTTCTCAGTTCTTTGATATCGTGTTGAATTGCTGACATCATTGCGCGCAATTCGCCGGGGCTGATCTCCGGTGAATATGCCCGCTCATGGCTGCTTGGCCTTTCTTCTTTCGGTTCTTTCGAATCTTCTCCCTCATTACCGCACTCGTTATTTTGCATCTCAATATCTTGCCATTTTGGACTTGGACTATGCTCTTCCGACATATCTGAAATTTGGAATTTTGAGAGTTGAAAATGACTTTGATTTGCGTAGAATACTACGGCACTACATGTGTGAAGTGCGTATGAACAGCTTATAAAGACTATAAACGCAAAGGAAGGGTGTGCGCAAAATTAGACGGATCGTGCGCATGAGAAGTCGAAGTAAAAGAAATGGAAGCTTGAAAGGCAGAGGCATTGCATATTGTAATATATTTTGATAGATATTACGGCGATAAGCTCTTCGGCTTGAGCTATGTTGCCTTTCTCGACATACCGTGGCTGTTGCGATCAGCATGGTGATAAGCGTAAGAAATACGCATGTTGAATATAAGATGTATTGTTTCATTATTGAGAAGAATTCGGGTATGTCTGGTAATTTTAATTTGAAAGTGTCGGGCGAGTTTGTTTTGGTGTTATATTGTAGTGTTTTGATATCATAAAATGGAAACATACTTTTTATGAAGTGTAATTGTCCTGTTATCCAGAATATTTGCTGATTTGTGCCGCAGTTTGCTCGACATGTTTCATTGAAGACGGCCTTGTTAGCGTAGAAGTGTATCTCGTTCGTGTATCCTGTTGGTGTACAAGTAATTGTGAACGATTGTGATTGGCAGTTTATTTCTGCTACAGCATGAAAGATGTTAGAGAAGCATGACAGATAAGTCACTGCACCTTTCAAGCAGTTATAACATCCTTCTATTGTTGCGCTTGGTATGCGACATTGAAATTGCGTAGATGAAACGGATATCGGAATTACTCGCGTTGACTAGCAAAGCAACCTCCGTACTCGCCTCTAATGTTCGTATTGTTAGTCTATTAACTGTGCTTTCGACATTTATGAGTGCATTTGGCATTCTAATTGGTAGAATTTGACTCAGTTCTAATGCTTGAGATAGGTTGTTATGTGTGCAGAAACAGTTTACGCTATTTTCCGCAGGTTTGCAAGAGCAGGTGTCGCGGATAGTGCATTCCTTTTCCCTTTGTAGCGATGAATCATTTTTCGCATTGACGCAGGCGTAGCTAAAAGTGTGTTGTTGTTTTAATCGTGCTGTCATCTTTGAGTTACCAATAAACGTGTCTCCTAGAAGCGGCATTGTCGGTATTTGTATTGATGTTATCTTTATGCTCATGCCGTTGAAATTCTTGCGAACATTTTGTTCGAATTCCATAGTGTAAGTCTTTGGCTTCTGACGGAATTTAGCTTGAGCAACTGAAAGTGCCACTTTTATTGACCAAGTAGGGCAGTGAAACACTTCGTACAGTTCTTTGTCTGTTGGCACATGGTAAATTCTCTAAAAAAGGCACCCTGAGGACGGGAATCCACAAGAGCATCCCAGTCCTCCACAGGATTCTGTGCAGTACGTTATTCCGGTGTAATTGTTTGACATTGCGAGTTCCTCTATTTTTGAATCTGGGGTGACTTTGGCACATTTTGATCCCGAACATGAACCCATATGTGGGCAACGCTTGCTATATTGTACTCGAGTTTCTGTATTGCGAGTGTAGTAGAGGGTCTCTTTATTACACCTTAAGATGACCTCTTTCAAAAGAAATTTTGTTTGTGATATCGTGACGTTTTGTTGTTGAACGTGGAAACAAGCTTCTGGTTGTAGTGAATTTATCTTCAATAGTAACGCATGCTTTTTGGTGCAAGTGTCTGTTGAGTCGCATTGTGTTATGTCCGATTGAAGTACGATTGTTTGCTGACACGCAGACACTCTCACTGTTGCTGTGTTAGTGGATATCATTACTATGGCGAGGATTTTAACTAAAGCTGATGGCTTCCATTTTTCTTTTGCATGCGCACGCACTTCTACTAGTGGAATAGTTTCATTGTTTGATTGGTCGTTTCTCTTATTCTTGTAACATGCTTGTATGAGGCGCAGTAAGAAACTGCCAACATTGTAAACACATGTGCAAAAGCAACGTCGTGTTTTGTTGATGCAGAAGAGAGAGTTATGGTCATCAATGTTGAATAAGTGAATATTGCAATGACCAGTATTGTGGTTTTTGGCCAGCAATGAGGGTTACTAATCATGACATTGCAAAATGTGCACTTTATTTGTTCGCAGAATGGGCTTGGGGGACATGTGAATTGAAATGCTTGGGTCGTATCTGCTATTAAAGTTTTGATTAGAACATTGTGTCGGTGTAATATTACCTCTGGTGGAAACTGGATTGTCACATTGTCTTTTGGATTATTTACTTCTACACAGTGATGTTCGCCGCATATTTGTATTCTCTGTGTTGTTCCTACTCCATGTATGTTTACTCCCCCACGAATGCATTCTGTTTTAATCGATGCAACGGTTGCTTTTTGTGCTTTGTTTTGGTGAGGAAAG